ATGTTGAAAGTCAATGAGGCAGGCCTATACTACATAAGTTTCCATTTAGGGCATTTGTTTGCTCTAGAGCATAGGTCTCACTGATTCGTGGTCTGGTATCCGCAATGGTCTGCAATAAAAGTCTAACTTGATAAGTTAATGGTTTTCCCGGGCGTCAGTAAAATCTTTTTTCAGAAGAAAATGTTTTATCGAACACCTGACTAATTATTTTATTGGTCTGAGCTTGCGGGCTCCGGCAGGAGTCAATGGTCAGAGATACAGGAGCCCGAAAGCTCAGACCAATAAAATAATGATTCCGGTGCTCGATAAAACTTATTTTTCTCAAAATATACACGTTCCTGGAATGCGAACATCTGCCTCAATTCGTCAGTGAAATCGTTCATCGGCTTAACCTGCTGATGATCAAATGAGCCGATGGTTTTGCCGGCTGTACTATCTGCCTAAGACTAGTAGAGGCTACGGATGCTTTCAGGGCCCAACAAATGAGGCCCAAGGCATAGCGAAACGAGTGAGTTCCACTAGCGGTCGATGATCTTCCATCGATGGATCCAATGAGCGTCTGATAAATCTGCCATCGGCATTTTGGCGAATGAGATAACCGTTGAACATGTTCAAACCGATAACCTCATTGTCCAAATCTCATGCACTCTACTTTCTTCCCTACCCTTAGCGTTACTTCAACTCATGGCATGTGCTCAGGCTGGGAAAGCTCTGGCATACTCGACTTTTCAGGACGAATTCTTTGAAAAGGAACTTCAGCAAACCTACGACAACCTCGTAGCCTCAGAGTGTACCGTTGGTAAGCACTTTATATTCTTCTTGTATCCCAGTACTGTGCGCCGCATCAACTGTGCGGGTTTTTCATTCCGTGTACACAACTGCCTCTTGTCTGCAAATACCGTACAGGCGCGTTGGTTAGTCTCTGACAAATGGCATTCAAGTATGTGATCGGATTGTGGGGCAGAGTATATTTCGCTTTGGGAATGTTGTACAATAAGGGCAATGGGAAGTGGCCTGTAGTTCAAAGCACACGTCCCTCTCTACCTCATTCATTGACACTCATCAATCAACGTACACCTGAACACTATCTGCCTCCTTCCAGCTGGTACAGCTTTAAGGGCCTCTGCCTATACCTAAATCAGTGCAGAACAGATGAGTTTCGTTAATGCTCTCAATAAAGACCATGGGTGTCAATATCCCCTGACTTAAGCCGGCGAGACAACCAGCTCGGGCCTCAATGGTTGGGTCGTTTGACTCTGATCAAAGAGGTTGCGAGTGTGAGGCTCGGGTGGGACGCCACTTGGGTCGGAGTATGACTGGCTGATGACGGCTAATGAATCAGAAATGGCCATTCCAGTCTCCGTTGCTTTTGTTGGCAATACTATTTGCCTGCTTCAAAGTAGAGACATTGATTGAGGGTCTAGGTTATATTAGTATTGTAGTCCCTACTGCTTTCCCTGTCAGTATTTTGGTTGTACGGGCATTGTATTATCTCCAAAGTTCTCTTTTCAAAGTGAGCATACGGCCAAAAACGTTGCTGTTATTTTCTTTATGATGGGTGGGCCTTTTGTATCTGAATACAATGAAATTGTCGGCAAAGTTATGGGACTCCTCTCCTCTTGCACCTGTATTGCGAGGTCCAGCCGTGTCCAAATTGTGAGCTAGTGCAATGGGTTCAGAGAAGCGTGCATAAAGGTGTCCACTGATTAGTCGCACTTTTCGCAGCTGTGCAATACAGTGGCATAATACCGGTGGCTCAGCTTTTGGGTAGTATATGTACTTCCCAAAAGAGTGGTAATAGGAGCGAATGGTTACCCGCGCAATTTCGTCAACCCGTGCATAAGAAAACGATATAAGAAGCCATTTTCAACTGGCCCAAAAGTTTGACGAGCTCTTCCGTACTTGAAGAATGTATCGGAAGCGGTTAGCTTTCTACTCACCCAACTTGGAGTTGCGCACAAGCCAGAAGCAAGCATCAGGCGCCGGTTCATATGACAGAAATAACCACTGCAACGACAGGAAACGGCTGGAGTCGTTTACCGGATCTGTTGCAGTTGTCGATAAAGCAACTACGTCGGAGAAACCGGAAGATTACTCGGGACGCGAATGGCCGAGCACGTAGCGGCGGTGAGGAAGAAAAACGCTAACTCATAGGTTGCAGCTCACTCAACGGGACCCGGGGCGAGGCTGAAATCCACGCAACAGGTGACAACCTGATGAGCCGTAAGCTGCTCGAGTCATGGTTCTCAGGCCCTCAGTCCACCAACAAGCGCAACGGTTTGCTATTCCCATATTGCGTACTGAGACATTGCCTGGGAAAGAGAATCAGCCATGTGGTAAGGGTCGGGCCCAGCAACAACTCTGACGACGGCGAGCATAATTATCACGTAATTACCAAGCCCGGATTCGACACGGACAAGGAAATCCCGGCAAATTATGAGTTAAACACGAAGTGTCAAGCCATCACCGCACCAATTAGAACCCAAGTGGTGACTACAGGAGTGGATTATTATAGAACGCACGCGGATGACCGCTATGAACTCTAAATACCGTGCAACCTGTGCATGTTC